AAAAGAGACATCGGAATGCCATTGAAATGTATTGAGTCGGCTTCAATACATTCCAATATAGGAATGTATTCACTCAACGATGTTTCCTATGGGGATTTTCACTGAACGATGGCAATCCGTTCCAATTAACCGGTTTTCAATACATCTCTATGGGAAATGGTGTTTCGCAGAACGATGTTTCACACAGCGATGAATTTTTTGGAACCAATTAACATCGTTGTGCGAGGCACCACTGTACTCCCATAGTTGATGCCTGCGAAGATACCACTGCCAATTAACCTATCTTTCTAGCCTATTTTTTAAAATCTACAGTGGTGCCTCGCAAGACGAAAGTAATTCGTTCCATGAGTAATGCTGTCTTGCGAAATTTCTGTCTTGCAAAAAGCGGTTTCCCATAGGAATGCATGGCAATGCATTCCTATGGGAAACCTCACAAGCCAAACAAATTAATTTCGTCCTGCGAAGTATCAATCTTGTGGGGGAAAATTGTCTTGCGAAGCATGGCCATAGACGAAGCCATCTTGCAAGTCACCAACACGATCGCAAAACACTTTCATCTTGCAAGTTTTTCATACGGCAAGGCGTTCGTCTTGCGAGGCACCACTGTGTATTTGTTACCTGTTATATCCCCACTTTTTCCAGTGAGTTCCATGTATAAGAAGATGGTATGCATGGCTCTCTCCCCACATACTTTTTATCCTCACAATAAACATCACAGTAAAACTGCAAGGCAGGTCAGGCACAATGTCTCCAGAGTTTTAAGGATGGGTGATTCCTACGTGCCAACCATGACTCCAAACTGGCTCTCTTCAGACAGATATTTGTTGACTATCCAGAAGAGATCAACAAATTTTTCATCATAAAGACTTGTATCCAAAGTTATTTCAAAGTAATCCTGTTAATTTTAGCACACCTTACTTGATCTAAATGCATGCACAAGCCTTTTGGAAGATTTGTGAATTTCCACATATATGAATCTTATATTGAACACATACAGCTGATAGTCAGAACTGAAATATTTTTTCACCACATGGCACATTTAATAATATCCATTTAATTAGTAAATGGTCTTGAATGATTTTTTCAGAATTAATTCAGCAATATATATTTATCTGTCCTTGCCTTACTACTTCTAATATCTTCACTCTTCAGATACACTTGATTGTAATAGACACCAGTATATTTTAAAAGGGTGCGGGAAAGAAAAAGTCATAAATGAAATATGAAATAAAGTTACCTTTTGGGACTAGGATAGTGATTACTTTTGAGAACTTTTGAGAAATAATCATCACCCATCTCAGGCTTATTTTTGCAACGTTGCACAAAAAGCATCAAACTTAAGATAGCACAGAGTATCAAGGAAATGACAAGATAGCTTTGACGATCAGAAACCTGAAACAAGATATTTAGAGTTAAATATAAAATACACTCAAGGAAGCAAGTTGCAGCACAGACCCAAGGATCATATAACTCAACCCATTGCTAATGCAGGAATCCAACAGCTTTGCTTAAAAATCTTCAACAAGGAGCTTCCATAAACTTTCAAGACAGTGCATTCTATTATCAAACAACCCTTAAAATAAGAAAGCTCTCCCTCAGGTTTAGTCAATCTGGGTGTGTATGAGAAACTATTAATTAACCCCCCCCCAAAAAAAACCTGTGGCTGCTTACACTACTCAGTTTCAGACAGTATTTGGCACATGGAACACTTATATGTTACCTAAGGATCCTAACTAGTTTTAAGGCTTACATATGTCATAGTATGTTCAAAGTGAACAAATCTGTCCAGAAGCTATATAGGTCAAATCTAAAGTACAGTGGTGCCTCGCTTAACGAGCGCACCGTATAACAACGAAATTGCATAGCGATGCGGTTTCCGCGATCGCTAATGCGATCACTTACCGATGGCCCCAATGGGCGAAACTCGCATAGCGAAGGTCGCTAAGCGTTTTGCTTACCGACCTCTGCTTACCGACCAGCGGATCAGCTGTTCGGCGGGTCCAAAATGGCCGCCGGAACAGCCGAAATGGCCGCGCGCAGCTTTTTCGCGCCCTCGGTAAGCGAGGGGAGGGCGCGAAAATGGCTGCCGGCTATGGGAAGACTTCGCTAAACGGTGAGTTTTCAGCTGATTTGGAATGGCTTTTTACTTTCCATTTAACGAAGTTTTCACATAGCGAAGGTTAATCCGGAACGGATTAACCTCGCTATGCGAGGCACCACTGTATTTCATTCACGGCATTAAATATGGGGGTGGAATGGGGTAGACACTGCAGGTTTAACAAAGGAATGAAGAGAAATCTGTCTTAGAAATCTATGCGTTTTATTATCAAAGCCCAACATGTTTTGAAGAAAAACCTCTCTTTTCATGGGCAATACAAAAGCACATTGTTATCAAGGCATTCGGATTATCTTGCCCATTATTTACAGAATGCTTTTTTTAAAAAAATCCTAATATTTATATGTTAAAATCCTTTTCATAAAAACAAGTATAAAACATTCTTTGAAACCCTGAACACTGTTCCCCATTGACCAGTTGCTAGGACTTAATATAAAAAGCAAGAAGCAACGAAGTTTTTAGTATTTGTTTAGAGACAAAAACTCTCAAGACATTTACTGGTCTCACAGAAGTTTAAAGGTTGGTGAAATCTTACTGCATAAGTTACACTGCAGGCTAATACTGTCATCTGCTACGGTATTCTTTTTAGACATTAAACATTTGTAATTTCTCTCCAAAAGGTCCCTAGGCATCAATAGAATCCCCTCCATTGTCTGGAAGCTGTTTAGTGCTGTGGAAAGTGGGGATATCTTTAATTACTGAAAAATGCTGACTGTGGGGCAAACTTTATTGTGGTATAACTACCAGCAACAGGATTACAGCCAATAGTTTACTTGTATGTGCACCATTCCACACTCTACAGCAGGAATTCCAAGTTTAGCATCCCATTTGCAAAACATTTTTCTTCCATCTATGAAGATTTTCAGTTATTCAGGTGAGGTTATCTGGAAGATCAGTTATGGCAACTACACTTCTTTCTTATCAGGTTGAAACATTTCACTACTCATCCAAGCAGCTTCTTCTCCTCAGACTAAAGAAGTTACTTGGGTGAGTAGCGAAACGTTTCAACCCAATAAGAAAGAAGTCCAGTTGGCATGACTCAACTTCCAGATTTTTTTCCGTATTATTCAGGTTTTTTACCTCTCTTTTTAGGTCAGTCACAGTTGATGAGAGGTTGGACACTAGCTGTGTCATGTTGGTCAGTTGTGCCTGTAGAATCTGGATAGCCTCAGTCTGCTTCAAATCCTAGGTGAAAAGAAAAACCCAAAAAATATTTTTGTAGTGTATTGTCTTGTTAAGGATGGCTATTGTTGCCACATGGCAAAGGAAAAGATATGAGATTAAGATATACCCAAGAACATACAAATGGAATACATGGTGTTCTTTCTCCAGTGGGCTTTAGGAACAATTGATGGAGGTTGGAGATTTACTATTAGCATCACAGCACAGTGGACTAAGATTAAATGGTTCTCGAAAGTTTTGGTTAAAGGATCAGATAACTGTAGTGCATACTGCAGGTTTCAAAATCTAAATTCTATATCAACTCCACCCCCAGTTAGAAACAAATTTTTAGCTCTTTATTTATTTATTGTATTTATATTGCACACTTCTTCAAGAAGGCTCACAGAATTGTGGGGGAAAAAGGAAAATAAAATAAAATAGAATTAAATGTTAAAATAAGATAAAATTCGTTATATTAAAATAAAAATTAAAACACTTTGAAGTTTTTTATTAAATATACTAATAATAGGTTATCCTTAAAAACAGAGCCAATATACTGATTAAAATCTTAACAGTTTAAGGGAGGGGTCCCCAACCCCCGGCCCACTGGCAGTCCGTGGCCATGGCAGGACCGGGCTGCCATGGCAGGACCCGCCCCCTGCACACACTCCCGCCACCCGCACAGCCCACCACCTACATGCACGGGTTCTCCTCCCCTCTTTGAGCACGCCCCATGCACGGGGGGGTGTCCCCTCCACGCACGCCCCCCCAACCGGTCCACGACTCAGAAAAGGTTGGAGACCACTGGTTTAAGGTATTTGATTTCCAAATGTGAAGACTTCAAGAGAATGAGCTAATACACTTTTCTGAATCCTCACAATGTAAGACTGCAAAAATTCAGAAGGATAACGGTTACATTCTATCCTAGGGAGATGCCCTTCCTGTTAATGTTCACACTAGCAGGTCACATACTCCTCCGGTACTTCTTCTGCACCATAATCACTCCTTAATGCCACCAGGGCAGCCATTAGCTTGAAAGAACAACCATCACTTCAAAAATGTTTGACAAGTATCTGGAGTTTCTCTTTTGTCCCAAGCTTGGATATATTTTATATTCAAGATGCTAAGTGAAAAGATTTTGCCTTTCAGTTAATCTATTCTGTTTCCTCTAGTAGGTTGTAGACTGCTTAAAAAAGGTAAAGGTTCTCCTAGACAATTTGTCCAGTCGTGTCTGACTCTAGGGGGTGGTACTCATCTCCGTTTCCAACCCATAGAGCTGGCGTTTTGTCTGAAGACAATCTTCCATAGTCATGTGGCCAGCGCAACTAGACATGGAACACCGTTACCTTCCCACTGTGGTGGTACCTATTTATCTACTTGCATTTGCATTCTTTCCAACTGCTAGGTTAGCGGGAGCTGGGACAAGCGACGGGAGCTCACTCCATCGCATGGATTTGATCTTTTATTCAGGAAACAAAGGTAAATAGTAGGAAGGGAAAGGGAATTTCTAGAGTACAGTATATAAAATAATTGTAAAATATACATATGTTCTTTCATATCCAAATTCCGAAATAGCTACTGTATCAGAAATTCCCACTGGAAGGAGCCTTGAGAACCAGAAGTCTAATTTTTTGTTTGTTTCCAGTGATCACATATTCTGTGAACCGTACTAGAGAAATCCGTCCTGCACCAAAAAAAGTAAAATTTCTTGAAAAGTGTCAGAAAGGTTTGGATAAGAATGCTCAGGGGATGGGCTGGTTCACTTCTAAATATGGTGATCAGACAGTTTGCTCTTTGCTGGAGTGAGCTGTCCTGTCTGTGCAGTGGACTAAACTACAGTATTGTGAGGTAGCTTAATAAGCAAGCCACTTCAGGATAATGCCAAATTAAACATTTCCTCTTCTTCTCAGTGGAAGAGCAAAGAGAATGGAAAAAAAATTATTTAGACTTTATTAGGGCAGCAAAAATGGTTTCAGGCATTTTCCCACTTGGCTCCAAAGCTGTGAAATTCTCTCTCCCAACACCTTCATATGGAGCCAGATTTGGACAAATTTAGAGCAGGTTTGAAAACCTATCTGTTCAAGTTGGAGCAACAGGTATTGAGTGTAGGGAGAGGTCAGTGACCAGTGTATTTTAATTGAACTTTGATTGAACAGTTGGTTAATTCTTTTTGATTTCTGCTCATTTTGAAGCATTTTATGTTGATGTACAGGTTCATACATACACCTACACTCAGGTACAGAGCGTAATATAAATAAATATTATGATTGTTATTATTGTTTGTAGTTTTTTAAAATCTACCATGGTAATGGATTCAGCTGTAGGCAGTTTTTTGACCAGCCCTTTAAAAGAAGGCAAAAAAATGAATAAGTGATACAATGCATTTTCACTGCCCTAAAAATAATTCACTTCCTCTGCTTGTCCACTGATGAACAGAGGAAGCATTAACTTGCCAATATCCTGAAGTGGCTCTCTTATTAAGCCATTTCACAACACTGGAAATTCCCACTGGAAAGAGCGAGACCAAATAAGGTTGTTCATGTTCTAACAGACCATTTAGATGTGAGGACTGCACCAAATGGAACACCACACTTCTACTTGACCCCAAGCAATCCTATTTAGCCTGCACCAACCTGCAGTAAAAGAGCCCTGCAAACAAGCCCTCTCACCTGCCACTTCCCAACATATTCTAATCATACCAACCAGTCAACATTCAGCTTTGTACTCAACTTTCTATCATCCATCTGCCAGTCATACCATCGTGCGACCTATGTAAGTATACTATTCAGGCATTCAGAGCCATTAGTCATACAAACCTATCACCAATTATAATTACAAATACACTTGAACATGTGGCTAACCTGGCAGAATCACTAGAGTAACCTGGCTCAGCAGTAGAAAGGAAACACTAACTGCTGTAGTTGTAGAAACTCCCTTATAAGCAAAATAAAATTAAAGAAGTATCTTCATATTCACCACACAAAAACATAAGAGTACAAGTCATAGAAAAACAGATTTGCATAGAGTACACATGACACGTCTTAACAACTAAATAACAAGAGTACACATACCTGGTGTTCTGCTATACGTGATGTATTCTGGAGCTTTATTATAGTTTTATTAAAAGCTTTCTGCATTTCCTCCATTTGCTTTCGGTATCTACGAAGTGAGTTAGACAAAAGTCTTAAGACAGTACCCATTTTTCATGTCTTGTAAATCTATTTCTAACCCTATCACCACCACTTAACTGGAAATGCAAGAATAATACAGTACAATTATAATCTGATATTGGTACTAATATAAACTATTTTTTCTGAATATACATACTGGCACTCTTGCCTACTGCAATAAGGTTGAGCTTCCCAGCTTCAGTGCTTCCATAAATGTATCTGCTTTGCATTACTCTTTGCTCTGCATTCACAAGCTATAGAACATACAATTATCTTTTTATCAACTTCCACGAGCACCCTATTTTGGCCATGCCTTTCCCCTTACTCAGCAGCTTTGGGAAGCTTTCCATGTGAGCTGTAATCCTTTATTTTCTTTAAAAAATCTATAGCTTAGATTCAGATGGAAGAGGCTACTTAGCTTTGTTTCATAAAATATGAACATAATGCTTCCATTGCTATTTATACCTTTGACTAAGTTCTTCCAAGTAACGGCTGCTGAGAGACATATTTACTTCCAGGGCTTTAATACGATTGTTGAGTCTCATAAACACAGACTCTTTTTGGTTTGATCCATGAACAAGATTCCCATTTGCATAACCCAAATCCGTGGAATTCTGCAGTTCAGCATAGAAGTCTGTAGCAGTTCGTGGCAATCCACCACCAGAGACAGGAATAGCAAGAAATGTTTCATCAGCTGTCTGTTCATCATCTTTTACTTCCAAAGATGATGATTCTACAAGAGATGCCATTTGCTTTTCCATTTCTGAAGAACTCACTTTCATTTCTCCATCATAGTTTTCTGTGGCTACTGTACATTCAGGATGTGAAATAGTTTCTGTTAGTTTTCCAACAATTTCAGCTGTTGTTTTTTCTTCTGTGCTCACCTCCTTGAAATCAGTTAAAATACTGGTTGCAGGTAGCTTCTCCACAGCAGACCCTATAACTCCATCATCTTCTGCAGAGATTTCCTCTTGGGAAGATACTTCTGGACCCTGAGATATAGTCTGATGTTCTGTAGCTTCTGAGGACACTTCGACTGTAGAAAGTGACTTGGCTCCTGTGGTAACATCCAAGAGGACAGACTGAGATACTGTCTGTGGATGACTGGGCTCCAGTTCAAAAGCACCTTCAGACTGATTAATATGAACTTCATTCAACATACTGCTTGAGATGTTCACAACAATTTCAGATGGCTCTGCAATTAAGGTTTCTGATTTCTCTACAGGTTCCTCATATACTGAAATATGCAATGATTTGGTTGGAACTAACTGGACTTGCCAAATATCTGCAGAGTTATATTTTTGCAAAGTGCTATCAGTTTTGCTGTGATGATGATGAAGCATCCCTATTGCTGAACACCACTTGAACAAATATTCTGAAAAGCTGGAAATACAACAGACTGCCACCAGCTCAGAGCAATAGATCTGTGTTTCACTCTCAAACCACGGTATTTCTTCCTCTTGTTCATCACTGGCCAGTAGGGTCACCGTTGATAGACTTGCTTCCTCTTCATATTCATGGACTAGCTGAACAATTGGGCTCTCTCTTGTTATATCTAAGATTAACAGCTCCTTTTCAGTCTGTGGTATCTCTGAAGTAACAAGCCTACAAATAGAAGTTGAAAATCACATCAGATAAAGATGCCATTCCTTAAAAAACATTCTTTAAAAAACAGTGCTGGGGGAATAAATTCCTTGACTCTGCCAACTTGGAAATTATCATCATTCTGCATCTAATCCTTGTAGGTCTTGTCTTCCAAACTCATTGACCTGGGATAACTCATAGGGGCGGCCATTTTCGGGTGCCTGTGCAGCGAAAAATGGCTCCTAAACACAGCGGGGAGCCATTTTGAGCACCCGGCGGCCATTTTGAAAACCCATCAATCAGCTGTTTTGATAGTCAGGAAGCGAAAATCAGTTCCCGAAACAGGGAACGGATCATCGCGCAGCGAAATTCCCCCATTCAAAACGTCATTTTGTGATCATTTTTGCGATCGAAAAACCTCGTCGTAATGCAGATTTGTCGTTAAACTGAGTGCCCGTCTTGCGAGGCACCACTGTAAACACTATTGAAGGCTGCAATGTTATGTTCATAGTTAAGTGATTTCTTTTAAAAATGTAATTTCTACAATAAATCTGATCATAATTGTTCTCAGGAATGGTTATTGGGGCAATGTAGTCGAAGGGAAACTGAATTTTCTCATGCAAGATATGAAGGAAAAATGACAGATTGAGGTGTAAATCTATAATATACAGTGGTGCCTCGCATAATGAGCGCCCCGTTTAATGGCGAATTCGCGTACCGATGCGGATTTTGCGATCGCAAATGTGATCGCATTGCGATGTTTCCTATAGGCCCCATTTTCCCCCAGATGACTGGCGAGGGCTTCGGAAGGACCATGGGGGAGGGCTCCCCCACTGTCCTTCTCAAGCTCCTGCCGGTCAGCTGGCCGAAAAAGCCAGCGGGCGGCCAGCTCGCTCCTCCCGGGGCGGCGGGGGAAGGGAAAGGCCCCTGGCACGGCCGTGCACCTGGCTCCCCTTCTTCCGCTCCACCTCCTCCTCTTCCTCTGAGGAGGAGGCGGCGGGCACTCAGCCCAGGGCGGCGGAGGTGGCGAGCGAAGGGAAAGGACCGGGCGCCTGGCTCCCCGACTCCCCCTTCACCACCTCTTCCTCAAAAGGCTGTCTGTCGGCCGGCTTGATTTTCCCAGGGTGGCGGAGGCGGAAGGGGGAAGGGAACAAGCCCTGGCACGCCGGGCGCTTGGCTCCGCCTCCCCCTCTGCTTCCAAACGCTGGCAGCTCTCGGCTTGGTCTTCTCGGGCCGACGGAGGAGGGGGAAGGTGGAAGGGAAAGGACCCTGGCGCGCGGGGCGCTTTGCTCCACTTCCCCCTCTGCTTCCAAATGCCGGCAGCCCTCGGCTTGGTCTTCCCGGGCCGACAGAGGAGGGGGAAGGTGGAAGGGAAAGGGCCTTGGCGCGCTGGGCTCCACCTCCCCCTCTGCTTCCAAATTCTGGCAGCCCTCGGCTTGGTCTTCCCGGGCCGACGGAGGAGGGGGAAGGGGGAAGGGAAAGGGCCCTGGCACGGCCAGGCACCTGGCTACCCTTCTCCCGCTTCACCTCCTCCTCTTCCTGGGAGGCTCCTTCTGAAGAGCCCCCCGGCCAGCTGGGGGGAAATACCAGCTGATCGGCGGTTCCAAAATGCCACCCCGCTGTTTTCTGGACAGACTCCTCACTTACCGAGGCAGCGAAAATGGCCGCCCCATGGAGGATCCTCGCTGAACAGTGAGTTTTTGCCCCATCAGAACGCATTAAACAGGGTTTAATGTGTTCCTATGGGGTTTTTCTTTCTGTTTAGCGATGTTTCCACATAGCGACGTTAATCCTGAAACGGATTAACGTCGCTATGCGGGGCACCACTGTAGTAATATATTTACATCTAGGGTAGAACAAAGACTGATTAAATTGGTAGTCATGGGTGTGGATGAGAACAAACAAGAGGAACAAGGAAAAATAGTAAACAAAGCAGAATTCCTATCATTTTCTTACCTAATTCTGTTTTCAATATTTTGTTTAAATCCACTGTAGTTTACTAGAAGACAGTTGGATTGTGCAAGTTAGAAAACCAAGATAGAGAAGTTACTTACCTGTAACTCTGGTTCTTCGAGTGGTCCTCTGTGAATTCACACTAATGGGTTAACCTGTGCTCGAGCAGAGCAACTTTGGAAACTTTCACAGCTTTAAGCACTTAGTGCCGGGACCTCCCCTACACCGGCTATATAACTTCGCCCCTGGCATCCAGCGCCTCAGTTCTAAGGAACCGACTGCTGCTGCCCAGCATGCCATGGCACACGTGATGGACAGCAGGGAGAAGGGTGGGTGTGAATTCATAGAGGACCACTCGAAGAACCAGAGTTACAGGTAAGTAACTTCTCTTTCTCCTTTGTGGCCTCTGTGAATACACACTAATGGGTGACTGGCAAGCTGACTAACCAGGAGGAGAAACGTCACAAAAGTGCGGAAGCGAGGACAGCTCGACCTACCGCTCCATGGAGAAAGGCCGTTGAGGATGCTACTACTCTAGTAGAGTGAGCTCTCACTGATTTTGGAAGAGGCATCTCTGCCAGGTTATAGGCAAGACGGATGGTCTGGACTATTCATCTAGAGATGTTCTGAGAGGAAGCCGGTGCTCTGAAGGAGCAGCCGGCAAAGGTGATAAAGCGATGTTGTGAGGCATGAAAAGTGGTTGTGCGATGTACATAATATGACAGCACGCTTCACATTTAGAGCGTGCAGAGCTCTCTCAAGCAGTGAAGATGGTGTGGGAAAGAAGACAGGAAGGACAACTAGCTGGTTCAAATGGAAGCCAGAAAATACCTGGGACAACTGGCTGGTTCAAATGGAAGCCAGAAAATACCTTAGGGAAGAAGGTAAGGTCTGACCGTAAGGTTACTTTGCAGAAAGGAGGACCTGCTCTTAGTGTAGCCAGTCCTCCAGCTTTGGAAACTTAAGGATATCGCCAGTAGAAAGGCAGTCTTGAGGGTTGGCAAGTGGAGTGATGCCGACACCAAGGGCTTGAAGGGAGGCCTTATAAGCCGCCGAAGAATTAATTGGAGAGACCACTGAGGTATTAGTGGTCTACAGGCAGCGCGCATATTCTCCAGGCCTTGGAGAAATAGTTTGCAGGAAGAACGGGCCAATCCTAGGTGAAACAAGTGAAGGAGAAACTGAAGGAATGTGTCTAGACATTGGCCTAGTAGGCGAATGTCGTCTTGATGCAAAGTGACAGAACGCCTACCCATTAAAGGACACCTACCCAATTAAAGGTGGTAGAAGGTCTGCGAGCACGATTGAGCACATTTGTTACTATTGGGGAAGACTCCAACTCGACAGGTAGAGGGACTCGAGGTCCAGATGAAATATCCGACCCTTGTCCCGAGATAGTAGGTGAGGGACCAGCTGCAGCCTGAAGTATTCTGTGGCTCACGGGAGCAGGATCAAGAACCATGGCTAGTGAGGCAACCAAGCATGACTTTTGCACACTCATGTTGGACTGGAACAACAGTCTTTTGAAGAAGGGGGAAAGGTGGAAACCTGTAAAGGAGGCCGCATGACCAATTCATCAGGAAAGTGTCTCCTAGGGAGTTGCAGCTGATGCCGGTTCGGGAACAGAACATGGCACAGATCTTGTTCGTCCGGGATGCAAAACGTCTATGTCTGGAGTCCCCCATCAACGACAGAGGCAACAAAAGACGGCGTTGTCAAGAGCCTGCTCGTGAGAGCAGGACTGTAGTCTGCTGAGATGGCCTACTACGGGATTGTTCTTGCCTGCCAAATGTACAGCCACCGGATAAATGCGGCAAGCATAACACCATTCCAAAAGGTCAATGGTGTGAAAGAGAAGGTGTAACAAGTGAGTGCTGTCTTGCTTGTTTATATAACAAACTGCAGTGGTATTGTCTAATGTGCCCTGGACCACCTGACCCCAGAGTAGGGCCTCAGAAGCCCGAAAGGCCTTGGTGATTGCCAGGAGCTCCAGCACAATGATATGCAGGCTGGCTACTATCATGGGCCAGCGGCCAAGGGCAACATGGTGGCGTTGACAAGCCCCCCCCAGCCTGGTGGGCTGGCATCCACCACTGACCGAACCAACCAGGTCAAGAGACTAAAGGGTCTCCCTATCCATAGGTTGGGGGGGATCTCCACCAGTCCAGTTGTGCATCAAGTTCCGGAGTCACCTGGAGCAACATGGATGGGTGGTCGCAAGGTATCTGAAAGAGTGAGAGAACCCAGGCTTGAAGGGACCGCGTCCTCAGTCAAGCATACTGTCCCACAGCTGTGATAGATGCCATAAGCCCCAGGAGCCAGTGGACCTGTAGGACAGGGAACCAAATGCCTGAAGAAAAGGAGCATAACAAAGCATGCATTTTCCCAGACTTGTTGTCAGGGGGAAAAAAGCCTGCTTCAAGAAAGCATCCAAAGTTGTATTAATACAATTTACACATTGTGCAGGTTGCAAAGTCTCTCTGTGTTGAATTTTAGTCCTAACACTCACAAAAGAGACAGTGATTCCCCCAACTGAAACCATGAGAAAGTGTTGATGATCTGACCGGATGCCATCATGAAAATGAGCATCGTACGGTAAACCAACTCCCTGGACGTAACATGTGAATAACAGAGTCCAAAGAAGCCATACAGAAACTACATAGAGTAATAAAAGAATTCAGGCCTCCATCCTTTTTGGGGGGTGGCCATAACATGGCCTGTGGCAGGGGATACAACGAATTCAGTGGCATAGCTGGTAGCTATGATAGAGAGTACCAAAGTGTTAGACATGAAGGACCACCAATTGGAAAAACAAGGGGTCAAACGGACTGACTGGTCAACGACAGAGAAGTCAGGTACAGTAAAGAGACCGCTCAGTTTTGCGGTCCTGCCTGAGGTATTGTTGGTCAGGCCGCTGCCTGCCTACATGTCTAGGGGGTGGTGGCTGGTATCTTTGGGGTTGAGGCCTTTGACGTTCCTGGGATGCCCTAGGCTGGTAGGAACATCTCCAGGTACTTGTGGTTGTTACGCTGCAAAAGACCATGCCACCTTCTGGAGCTTGAGTAGGTTATCAAGAATAACAACAGTTTTCTGACCAAAAAGCCCTACACCATCAAACAGCAGGACCTCGACCCGCCAACGGTTTAGATGCTGGTTTTAAGGCGTGAAGTGCCCGCCCCAATGCCTCCTAGTGATATGGGAGGCCTTAACTGTAAAGGTGCACAGGAGCTACCTGCAGAATGGGCAGTGCCAAATTCCATTAGTGGTGATGATAAGCACCCATGGCAGAGGAGTAATTGACTATATGGCAGCCAGGAAATAAAAACGCCAACCAAAGAACTCCTTATCTATTAACGGTAAAAAAGGGTGTATATCTGCAGCAACTGATATGGGTGTAGGAAGATTAGTTGGAAAATATTCCTCCCCCTGTGACTCTTGTAGGCCCCAATCCTGAATAAGGTAAGTCCTTCTGACAATCAGGGGAGAAGTCTTTCCTACCATGATTCTGACCAAGTTCAGTTGCAATACTGTTGCCGGGATGGAGAAGCCTGAATGGATTAACAGCAGGTTTGGTTGAGCCCGTGCACACTTTGCTGCCAGAGCCGAGTTTGAGGAAGCACTGCACCTTTGAGGCATAGGTGGAGGCACAAAGCACTCCTTAGCCCATGGCTCAGAACAGTGGCAGGTGGAGTAGAAAAGGTGGCGGAAAAGGCTGATGCCTCCCATACTGTTGCCGGGATGGAGAAGCCTGAATGGATTAACAGCAGGTTTGGTTGAGCCCGTGCACACTTTGCTGCCAGAGCCGAGTTTGAGGAAGCACTGCACCTTTGAGGCATAGGTGGAGGCACAAAGCACTCCTTAGCCCATGGCTCAGAACAGTGGCAGGTGGAGTAGAAAAGGTGGCGGAAAAGGCTGATGCCTCCCATACTGAATTGAATGAACTGGTCCTGCACGAACTTGTCGGCGTGATAGGACCCCCCAGAGGAAAATTACTCAGGTCTACCTGACAGCGGCTGGGTTCTTGGTTTGACTCCTATGAGTCCTTTCCCAATGTGCTTTTACCCCAGTCAGGAGAATCACTGACAAGCAGGGATAGTGACTGGAGCTACGGGAGGCACATTCTTCTTCCAAGGGCAGGGCTACAAACGCCCAACTCACTGCAGGTTTAACAGCTCTATGAACGAGCCCCTTGATGCAAGAGGACTACGCCACGCCAACCTCCAAAGAGACTTTACCCCAGTTAGGCGAATCACTGACAAGCAGGGATGGCATCAGGAGCTGCAGGGGGCCCTTTCTTCTTCCAAGGGCAAGCTAGGGCTGCTGGTAGCCATCTCTCTGCAGAGTTAGCTCAGATGCTGTCCTCTTCTTTTTTGACACAAAGAGGAAGTGCAAAGAGATGGATAGCTGTTGCTCTTGAGCCTGGGGGTAACCTTGCTAAGAAGGTAAAAGAGACCTTATGTCTTTAAGAGAAAAAGCCCTGAGGGCCTAAAGCCAGTTTTGTAAAGGCTTTGTAAAGCCTTGACAAAGAACAACTAACGCCAGCTGGTGCTCTTCCCCCAGGCAGAAGAAACAATTTGTTATTTAGAAAAAAGAACAAGGGAGATTTAAAAAAGGAAAGATAAGAAATAGAATTTGTTTTTACTTGCGAAGTTCCGAACAGAGCTGCTACTACAGCGTAAGGCACTGGGTGCCGGGGCGGAGTTATATAGCTGGTGCAAGGGAGGTCCCGGCACTAAGTGCTTAAAGCTGTGAAAGATTCCGAAACTGCTCTGCTCAAGCGCAGATTAACCTATTAGTGTGTATTCACAGAGGCCACGAAGAACAGGTCTTTTTGAGTTTTGTCAATATCAATGTCAGAATATTAACAGCAACCTTGGATGTATTTCAGTATGATCCCCTTCATCTGCAAAGATTCAGGTTCTGAAGGATTGTTGAGTCACTTAAATACAATATTCCCAAAAAATTGGAGTGAAGGCTTGTGAGGTGGTTTTTCAGATCAAATTTCGTAAAACTTCCAGATTTTGCCTTAATAGGGGAGAGCAATGTAGTTTGCCCAAACAAAATAGGTACTTATTATCTTTATCAGTGTGTGGTACTCCCCCCCCCCCAATAAGATCATTATTTCTTAAAGAATACTGCACAAGCCATTAAAAAAATGGTGGAAATGCCAAACAACTTTTTAAAGCTAAGTAAAAGCCAAAGAAAAAAAATGAAAACCAATATAAGGGTTGAAGAAAAAGTGAAAAGATAAGGACATGTATATACAACTTAGTGGGGTAAAGTAGAAGGTTCTGAAATCCTCCTGATACGTTCGCATGCAGATGAAGGAGAACAGAGAGCTCAGCATCAGGGGATGTTAATCATGTGCTGTAGCGATTAGTGGTGGTGGGGAGACCATTGTAGTTGTTGTGGGTTTTTCAGGCTCTTTGGCTGTGTTCTGAAGGTTTTCTTCCTGATGTTTCGCGAGTCTCTGTGGCTGGCATCTTCAGAGGACTGGAGTAGGAATTCTGCCCATGCTCTGTTGCTGTTTGTTGGATAGCTGAGTATTTATAGCTGTGGGAACAGCTATTGTCCTTTTCAGTAGATAGGGTGATCAGTGTGTTTTTTGTTGTGATGGGGGGGGGAGATTATCTGTCACTGTGATTGATGGGTGTCGTTAGCTGGTCTTTTTTGTGTAATGATCCCTGGTCCTTGTGGCTGGGTGACACTTACTCTAAGGTAGGAACACTGGTTGGCTCTGGCAGTTCGGGGGCTGCCACAGAAGTGGCAGTTGCATTTTCAGCTATGCTTGTATTTCCTAATAAAAAGAAATATAAATTTCAAGATACTAAATCCCATTTAATAAAGCTTCAGAAAATAAACATACGAATGAATCACTTTCTCGTAGAAATTGGAAACACGAAGTAACGGAAAATCTGAACAAACTGCACATTTCAATTCCCAGAGATTACAGGATAGTTGTTAAAACAAAGTGACAGGAGAAAGGGAAAGACATGTCCTCAGTTCCCAAATCTGAAAGAAAATCCATCACCAGTAACTGTTACTTCTAATGTGCCAGTTGTCTTGCCTATCCCCTCACATTTTGTGCAGTGTCCAGGTAAATTAAAATGATTTGAATCAGGTTTCTGTGTATTGCTACTGTCTGAATTCAGCCAAAAAAAAGTTTCTTCTTTGTGACGCATATGGTTTAATTTGCCTACTGGGTGGTGTACAGTGGGGTCTTGACTTGAGAACTTAATCCGTATTGGAAGGCGGTTCTCAAGTCAAAAAGTTCTCAGGTCAAATCTGCATTTCCCATAGGAATCCATTGAAAACCATTTGATCCGTATCTGCTCTTTGCCGTCCATAGAAACTAATGGGAAGCTACTATTCCGCCTTCGACCACTAGAGGGGGATATATTGTTTCTTTTTTTCTTAGGTCAAGAAAGGTTCAGGGAAGGCAGGGAACATACAGTCCAGGCAGTACCAGGCAGTCTGAAGACTCCCAATCCCCTCTCTAAACGCTGGGAGGAGTGAGGAAGCAGACAGGCACCCTTTTCACTGGCCAACAGTTAACTGAAAGTTCAAATTTTGCACTTTCCCTGCCTCCCACGTGGTTTTTTTCAGTTCTTAACTCAAATCTAAGTGCGTAAATCAAGTCAATATTTTCCTATGAGAGCGGTTCTTAAGTCAAAATGTTCTTAACTCAGGCTGTTCTTAAGTCAAGACCCCACTGTAGTTTATCTACAGTCTGGCTAAATCAAAAACTTGCATAGTAATTATATGACCATACAGACCACACTTTTAAACTGGGATTAAATTCCAACAGATTAGCCAACAGATTGCCATTAGCTATGGCAACCTTCACAATTCCTTTTGCAGGTACATAAATATTCAGCTGGATTTGAGTAAGTAAGTAGTTGTTGAATATGTTTCTCCTCTTCTTACTGTGCATGTTTCATATGCTGTTGCCTGAAGGTGGGAGTAGTTAAAACTGTCTTTGAAATCCTTGAAGCAAGCTAGTTAGGCTGTTCTGTCATTTGTCTTGTGTACCAATTTTTGTTTCATTCATATTTGCATCTTTCACTGAAATTCTTAATTATTTGACTTTTAATTTCTGCTTTCTGAACACAAATATGTTTTGTAATTTTCAATAACTCTATTATTTATACTTATTTTACTTGAGGACTGCTAATTTTAAAACTTCTTCCCAAAGTCTCAGATATTAGTATGTCTTCTGGGTTTCACCTTGTTAGAAATCTTAGCATATGTACAAGCTGAGTCAAGAAAAAATTTTGGTTCCTGTTCACTATCCACCCTTTTTTCATACAGTTAAGAAGGTCTCCAGGGATGCAGAAATTTGTATCCTCCCTGGTGGAGATTCCATTTCACTGCCTTAAATTGTTGTCAGGGTCAACAAATTTGTTTTTACAGTAATAATCAAGTTTCAAAACAGCCACACTGCCTGAATTGCACTAAATCATCATCAACTATCTATGCACTTCTACTTGAAATATTCACAAGTTTTCATAAAAGCAAGTTCTCTTCTAGATTCTTGAGTTTTGGGGGAATATTTAAAGTGTCAAGAAAAAAACTACATTATGAAGCCAAACAAGCTGTAACTGGAAAATAACACACAAAGCTAAATATTCTCTATTGCATTTTGGTATTTTATCAACTGAAATGTTGGTCTTCTTACAATGCTCAGTACTTACATGTGGCATGTCTAACTTGGAAAAAGGCTTGGATAAATGGTCTGGACTTTAGCAGCATTTAGAAAAGTTTTACTGCCCACCTCTTGAATTCTAGATAAAATCCCACTGTGAATCACTTAGGTTATGTGAAATTCAGAGTTATCACCTTACAACTTAAAATCCAACTGTTAATACCAATTCTACTCAAATAGCCTACAGACAAGAAAAAAACGTCGCCATAATTCAGCGGCTCCACCCAGGCCCTGGAACTTCCTACGGAAGGAAACTTGTTTTCCCCCCTTCCCTAATAGCTTCGCAAATGATGGTCAAGCCTTTTTTTAAAATGAAAGATATTGCACTATTAATAGTTGTTCCATTTTTGCTGTGAATTTAATGGCTATGGATGTATTATTTGATGTAATAATAAAGAAAAAAATTTCTCTAAATTAGTTACTATTTTAACTTAAATTGTTAACCCCTTTGATTAGTTAAGGAAAGACAAGGTAGAAAAGTAATGTGAACAAAGATAAATATAATCTGAAAATGTATTTTTTAAAAAAATATGGTAATTGTAGATGGGCAGAGGAAACCTCCAGTTTATGTCAAGGAAGCATGACCATTTAAAAGTAAACATTTATTACAAAAAAGTAACACTGACTTACCTTGCTCAGTAGACCCTTCTTCAGTTTTTGCTCCAAGAATATTAGCTGCAATATTTACCATGTTTAAAATGGCATCTAAAAAAATACAAAAGAAAATACATTAAGAGAGCTGCAGAAAACCAGACTCTCCAGAATTGTCCCTTTCCATGTAAATTCTTGGCATACTGTTTTGTCTGTGGGTACACAATTTCTTAGCATGGATAAGCACCCTAAATATAGACATTGATATAAAGGGATGTGCCCAAAACACAATTCCAAAAGTGATCTAGAGACTTTTGCCATGAACTACAACTAGATCGGAAACTAAATTATATTGTTCTGAGCACAAAAGAGAACAGAAAGCTCTTCCTGCCCCGAGACAGTCAGATCTTCTCTGCCAGAGATAATCTCTCTACTCTAACTGCAAGAAAAGGAACAAAGATTTATCTCACGACCCTTCTCAAGAAATTGTAATAAACTATAAATAACAAAGCACTTGTAATTAATTCTTTTTTCTCATACCAACATTATAATTAAGTTACATTGTGAGTGTGATGCACTGGACCCCCCTAAAGGGCCTGTGGCATTCGGTCAGAGAGTTCGACAGGCCACTTACCTACCATCTTTGTGCTGGAGCAAGTCCCAAGACCTCAGCAGTGCTTAGCGTAAGCCCTTTGAACATGTTTGACCTTAAAAGAACACTTTACTCTTACTTAGTACTTTGCAAGTACAGTGGTACCTCGCAAGACGGATACCCCTCAAAACGACGAATCTGCATGACGACAATGTTTTGCGGCAGCCATTTTGCGTTGCAAAACAGTGATTCCTATGGGGGAATTTCAGTGGATGATGATTTGGTCCGTGCTTCACGGACCGTTTTTTCGCAACACAACAATCTAGAACAGCTGATTGGCGGTTCGCAAAATGGCTTCCCTAGGGGCGATCCTTGCAAAACAGGTGTTTTCAGGCCCATTTTTCGCAAGACGGTAATTAAAAATAGCTCAATGGCGGTTCACAAAGTGGCTTTTCTATGGCCGATCTTCGTTATACAACAATGATTCTTCCCCATTGGAATGCCTTTAACAGGTTTCAATGCATTCCAATGGGGAAATGCCTTTTGCTAGGCGATTTCCCTAAACAGCGATTTCAGTGGAACAGATTATCATCGTCTAGAGAGGTACCACTGTACAGGCACATGCACTTTGTGATTCCTTAGAACTCACAATAACTCAGTTAGGTAGGACTATTAAATGATAGGTAGTTTGTGGCCCTCTCCACTTTCTGCATTCAGCCTAACCCTGCTATTCGAGAAACAAGTCCTTCTGTAGAATTTTTATAATTATTTTTTATTAGAAAAATAAGAGTTTCATTAGAAATCAGTTTATATTGCACAAGCATTAGCATCAAGAACATATTCAAAGATAATTGCAGTTAAATAAAATAACTATTTCCCATTAAAATAATAAAACACTAATAAGCTAACTAGGGTGGGCTATGGTGGGTAGCCCCACCTCCTTCTTTCTCCTTACTTACATCCTTTCTCCTTCATAGAACTGAATCCAGATGAGAACACACACACAAAACCATCAGAATCACATTCCAGTTTTCATTGAATTTCACATAACCCATCATCCATTTTCTACTTTCCCAAACTCCTCCCTTCTTCATGGGCTTTCTGGCTGTTAATCAAATAACCTTAACAGGTTGTAACACCTTCCTCCTTCACTTATTTCCATGAGAGTCCAGGTATTGTTTATCTCTTCTCCAAATAGCTTGGAATGTTGAGTCTTTCATGGGCCTCTCAATGTGGCCTTCATCGCTATCTCGGACCAGGATGTAACAGTCTTCAGGAAAACACTTTCACAGTACTTAGAAAAACACATTCCAATGTCTCTCAAATCATCTTCACACAAAACCTGTCTGACTCCATTTTACTTTTCCCTGACTACATACCCCATCATCATGACAGTGAGTGCAATCTGATGAAAGATAACTCCACTCTATTTGAAATGTAACTGTAGCTTTTTTTCTTTTATAGATCTGGGATGCTTTCGTAAATCTTTTGATTTGTATGTATATATTTATTTATTACAGTCAAGTGGCCAGCTCGTAAAACATATCATATGGCTAAAATATACAATTTTCCTTCTGGATACAATGCGGATTATTGCTGGAAAAAGAAAATATGCTTATAAACAAGTGTTTTTGTTCTGGTCTCATTCTGCCACAACCAAGTTTGGCACCTGGTGTAAGCCATTTGATTAACATCTTTTCTGAGAATGTGGAGTTGGAAAAAGAGAATTTGCCTTCCAAAGGGTGTTTATGCTGTGTGGATTTTCATAATATTCATTATTGCTTTCATTAGGTGCAAAAGAGTAGATTTCAGATACTTTGAGAGTTTGCTGTCTACACTTACTCCTGACTAACCTAGTCCTTTTTACTTCTCAACACATATCAATCAGTTGGATTTTTGTATTGTGCTGCTTTTTCTGAGAACACCAGAAAAACAAAGAGATCACTGGCAGGACCCTTGTTGATATGCCTTACTGAATAATGACTTGAATTTTATTTAAAGAAACATAAAACAATCAACTATCTAGATTGTAGGGAGGGAAATTACACTCCAACCAGTTTTTTAGTCGATGAACTGCTATCTGAGCAGCTTTTGAAGCAGAGCGCTTCTATTTTAAAAGTAGCACTTCAGTGTGATTTCCCAAGTTTTAGAACTTTTTCTGTGCATTGTTCTTTTATAACACTGCAGAAGAACAGGGCTAATTATGACATTTGTTTATTAATGCTATTAATTTTTAAGAAAGAACAGTCTGCTAAGGCAACAGGGATGTTTCTTCAAATTGGAAGCATGTGTAGCTTATGAAGCTGTTAAAGTAAGGGGTGGCTTCCTCCTCAGCTGACTTATTGTCTTCCTGGGCATGACTCTTACACCACAATTTGTAGAGAAGATGCCTCAGTTTGCTCCTCTGTGGAGATCATAGCAGAACACACCCTGACCAACCCCTCCCAGAGTAACAGAGAGGTAAACAGGATTAATTATGTTTAGCCTTCCCCACACACATATATACAATCTATCCTCACTACAGCCCCATGAAAAAGATTAGGTTAACCTGCATCTCATCTAAAAATTATAAATGAGCTTTGGGGCAACTGGGGGTTCAAATGCAGGTCTTCATAACCCAAGTTGAATATTCCCCGAAAGACTGTGCTAACTCCCAACAGATTCCACATTTCTGACTTGCAACCACATAGTGTCTGTGCATAGCATGGCTATGCATCCCTTTTACAGGCCTTAGTATGACTACTTATCTTTTAGGAATCTCAAAGCCTGTGCCTCAAAAATCACACCATCTAAGGCAATCTATGGCCTCTTTTCTACAATAAGTATTTTTTAAGATTCCAATTACTTACTTGTAGCAGAGCCCAGAAGATTCTTTGAAGATTTTTCTTCTCCGACATTGTAGTCCAAATAATCTGAATAATAATAATACTTTTTAAACAATACTTTTAGGTAAGCAACAAAGAAAAACGTATCTTACAGATGTTGCAACTCTATCAACAAGCCACCTCCAAAGTACATAAAATACAAAAATCACAAAGGCAAAATTAAAAGAATATGGAAGCAAGATCAGGTCATTCCTTGGATGTTCAGAGGCATATTACACTCCTTTATTGCTTTCAGGGCAGAATATAAACATGGCCTTTAATGTGGTGAAATTTTGTGCTGCTGCAGTCAAAATTTGTAAAGGAAAGGTTTTAGTAAATTTATAATTAGTTTTTAGTTAACAGCAGAAATCTTCTGAAAGGGAAATACATACTAATTATGGTGCTTGAAGATTTTTTGTTATTTTATTTTCATGTTTTCATGATGATAGTAATTTTAAGGTGCCCAGAGTACTGGCCTAGCCACAAGATGGATTGGGCAACAACAAGTTGTCATCTTTAGAACAACTGTGCTGCATCAAAATTATTATATTTTATTCTATATATCAGGGGTCCCCAACCCCCAGTGCGCAGCCAGTTGCTGGTCCATAGCAGGACTGGGTAGCGGAGACATTTCTTCCCCGCACGCACTCCCCCAATGCACCCTACCCACACACATAGCCCACCACCTGCACACACAGGTTCCTCACCCCTCTGCAAGTGCACCCCTCCCCTCCCTGCAAGCACACCCTCCACTCCATGCGAGCACACCCCTGCCCTCCACAAGCATGCTCTGCGTTCCAAAAAAGGCTGGGGACCACTGCTGTAAATGGATCCCTTCCATTGCATTGAGGCTGTTTGGGACTCCATTTACAAAATAAGACATAATAATCTTGTTACAAGAGATTTAACATAAGAAGAGATTACATTTTTACCAGTGCAAGCATTTGTGGGCTGCAACTCTTAACGAGCAAAAGGCTAGACGAATTTTCTGCACACCCTGTTCTGCACCAGCACTATGTTTCCAGGCTCAAATCAACAATTACTCATGAGATACAACTTTAGTGCATGTCTTGTGGTAATCAGGTGACAATACACCTGGAAGAACTATTTGTCCATGAAACTTGGAGATAGGGAGGTAACTAAAGGGACTCTTGTCCCACCAGGGGTATTCTGGGCTCTCTCCAAAACTTTGCATTCCTAGCCATTTTACTGTGGAAGCACACAGAAAAACATGCAGGCAATATTCTGTCCAATTGCTCATTAAATCTGTTTTCACATTCTACTATACTTTGAAGGAATACAAAGGCACTGGTATAAATGACAAGTTCTGAGAAATACCTGTTGCAACACATTTTTTTTTGCCCTAATTCCTATTCAATTGCTTGAATTCAGCACCATGTTAGGCTACCTATATTTATGTTCTAGCTGCTTAGCATTCATTTATTGCCACATGGACACTCTTGCCAGAATCTTTCTGACTACAAATCTGCTTAACAAATCTTGGAAAACGGCCAAGGCCGCAGACTAAAAAAATGAAAAATAAGTCCGGGAGAGCTGTTTTCTATTAACTGGAAAAAGTGAATCAGTTTTTCACAATTTATTTTGCACACTATTCTTATACACATTGAAGTGCTTTGCAAAGCAATAGATATCTTGTTCAGCTAGCTCTCTCTGGCTATGGTTTGGACCATGAACTTTAAAGCATATTTTCTACTTAGAACCTACTACTACATACTTTCATTGAGACATCCTGTTTGGCCACCATCATGGCCTTGCTGTCTTCTTAAAAGAAAGATCAAAACCATCAATTTCCCTTGCTGGACTTATCGAGCAACTAAAATTAAATCTTAATTGTGAGCCAATGGCATACTTACCATAGTCTTCATCAAAGAGCTCCTGTCTTTCAGACTGGTACTGTGAATCAGCTATTTCCTCGTATTCTTCAACCATACTAGTTCCAAAGACCCTGCAACCCACATTTTAATTGAATTGAGTGGAGATGTGATAGAACATTTTTCCACAGCTACAAATGCATATCAAACTGACACCTTGTGCAAAATCGACATGGACGGCATATTCTCATTTTTTTTATTAATTCAGGTCTTTTGCATGAATGTTTATAAGCTTCCACATTGCCCTTTGTGATTAGTTAATTTCTGAAAGTAAGTTTAGTAAGTTACTAATGACTTAATTTTCAAGATGTCAATTAAAACTGAGATAACAAGAATAAATTTTAGAAGCTAAGCTTTTGAGCGGTGGAAGCAAGATAGTGAGCACCAGGAGACCATGTTTCAAGATCACGTGACCGTCAACACCTGATTAATTTCACTAAAGATTACCTTATAAGGCTTAACGGACAGAAGTGTTCTGATCCAAAATGGGATACCAACTCCACCTAAGCATTAAAAAAAAAATTAATGACCTAAGGCCATGTGAATTGACAGTTTGTGTATAAAATTAGAAATATGTTCACGTTAGCCATATGGATAATAGAAATGATCTTGCCGGGCTCTATTCTTGCCATGCATTCCTGAGGTGAGCCATAACATGAACCCATGCCCTAGGCATTATGAAGTTGTTGCTAACCTTTAAGTACTTGATGAACATCTGAAGCAAGAAAAGAGGGGGGAAAAAGAAAGAAATGTCAGTGGACAGTATGCATGCCACAAGCAACAATTAGCTACTCACATAAGCAAAGACTAAAAACCTCTTCCTCCCATCCACACCCCTGCTAAAAAAGGATGCATTTGCAGAAAAGGCAAGATTAATATGAAGACATACAACATGCCAAGACAAATCATCCTAGCTTCTTTTTCTATGACCAAGACGCCTGGAATGCTTATAGTTATTGTACAGAAATGTTACAATAATGATTGCAGAATATGAAAAACTACATGCCACTGAAAAAAAAAACAGTGGCATTCAAGAGATTGGTTTTTAAATTTCATTTATTTTCTACCAACATCCAATACAAAAGTAATTATCCTTATTTACTCCCTCCCCCAATCCCACATCCTCTCCTCTCCAACAAAGGTATGTAATAACTTCAGAATGTGCAATTTGCATATTAACTTTTCAACATGGCTCACGATGCCCCAAAAGAGTTCAGGGGACTGACATCAGCTTTTCTACTTGTAAAATCTATGAAATGTTGCCATTCATCAAGAAACATTTGGAGGTTTTATTCCTTTTGCTGCTGAAAGTTCATATCTTAATTTTTCATGAAATGCAATTTGTACCAAACTACAGCTGAAATCCCTTGAAGAGCAGCCCTTGCTCGCCCAATTCAGCAATGACTATTCTGGTAACTGATAGCAAGTAGGTTATTGAAGATCTATACAACAGATCTGCATTATCCTCTACGTAAAATGACAGTAATGCTAACTCTGGAGAGCTGATCATGGATTATTTTCATTTTATTAAATACTGTATCCAAGAATGGCTTGACTTTATTACAGAACCACCATAAATACCAAAATGAGCCCCTTTGCTTCGCAATTCATTCCACAAGGTGGCAAGGTATAAGAATCTATATACAATGACTTCAACAGATGGAAAATGTCACTACCGTAGTACCTTCAAGGCAGATCAAGTCTGCCACCCTAAATATTTTAAATGCTTCAATGCAAATATATTTTTATGCTTTTGACCTTACTGTTTATTTGTATTTTATTATTTTTATTTTCTGTTCTTTTAAACTGTATTTTCATTATGATATTTGTATTTGTTGTAAACTGCCCAGAGTGGCCTTCAGCCAGATGGGTGGTATAAAAATGAAATAAATAAATAAGCAATAAATATTAAACATGTTGGCCTAGTCACTTTCCCTGATTTCAATACCCTAGTTATGTTCCTATTCTACGGATTGCCTGTAAGGAGTCTGCTTCTTAATCCAGAAAGCAAGAATATATTTTCGATACTGCCTTTTTACTGCACTTCCCAAGAGTGTTAGATGTCTCGCAGCTTGCCCCTTAACCGCTGGCTATCTAATACAACTGCTTACTTGATATAATGTAAGTCATGCAATGCCAGGTTCTCCTTATTCCTCCAATACAGTGGTACCTTGCAAGACTAATGCCTCGCACAACGAAAAACTCGCAAGACAAAGATATTTTTGTCTTGTGAAGCGCGGTTTCCCATAGGAATGCATTGAAATTTAATTAATGCATTCCTATGGGTCAAAAAAGTCTGAAAAGGCACTTACCAGGTAGGGAGCTGGAGAAGCACCATTGGAGGACTGGCGGGGGTCTCCCCATGTGGCTATCGCCACTTTCAGAGGCCTCCCGGGGCTTGCCCAGCACCATTTTTGAATCCCCCCCTTTTCCCCTGCCTTTTTCCATTCGGAGGCTTGCCCAGCACCATCGGAGGACTGGCAGGGGATCTCTGAAAGCGGCAATCACCACGGGGGGGAGGGGAAGGACCCACACCAGTCCTCCAGTGGTGCTGGGCAAACCTTCAGAGGCTTGCCTAGCACAATCGGAGGACTGGCGGGGGTCCCCCCCGCGGCAATCGCTCCTTTCAGAGGTCCCCCGCCAGTCTTCCAATGATCCAAGCAATTTCCCTTGTTTTCTTAAAGCACCTACTTTTGCCAGTAGTTAGGAGAGGGCAGAAAAAAGCTAACAATGCCAGAGAGAGTTATAAAGGTAAACAGACAAAGCAGCAACTTCATTGTTTCCTCCAGCAGACAAAAAGGTAAGGTTGCAATGACAGTGAATGGAAAGCAGCAGAGACTCTTCTCTCTTGGCAACAGCGCAGTGTGAAGGAAGACTGAGAGGAACCTCAGGCATATCTAACGCCTATCAAGAACTACTGCTGTTATCAATATAATGTACTGATAAAAGTGCATGCAAATGCTTCTACTGATTCTCAGAAATATAACCAGAATTCCTGTAGGGTCCCTGTATATGAACACCCACTCCTTCTCCTATTAAGGTCCAAATTCACTTCCTCTTTCTCCTTTTTGAAAGGGAGATACTGCCACATATTCTACATGAAGCAGGATGCCTACACATATAAAAGGAGCTTCATTTGGTGTGTGAACTGTTGAGATTTTGATATCAAAATGTATTAAATATTAACGTTGTATAGTTAAATGTAAAATGGCTGATTTTGCCTGAGTCACTGTACTGACTGTCTTCAGGTGTGGGTATCAAGGATTAAGACTTGATGTTGTACAGCTGTATACATGAAACTTTGTGTAACAGAAAATGAAGTAATGTATTTTCTGACTGGTCACAGAACTGTACACAAGTCATGTGTAAAATGAACATCATTATCTGCTGTAAGTCAAATCACCTTTTCCTATGCTGTGTGTTGCTTCATGTCATGTTATGCTGCCAGAGGAATGTCTATTCTCTATGTATATATGTAAATAGACTAAGTTGTTGGTTTTACTCTCTCAGTGTCAGTATCTCTGCTAACCAATATCTCCTTACTCTGCTGGTGTCATGAGAATACACGTTATAATCTAAATTCTCAACATGAACTGGCCATCCTAACATCAACATTTGTTCATTCAAGTAAGACACTTGCAGTTACTTCAAATAAGTTACCTTAACATATTTGGCATACATCTGTTCATCCAGAGGAAAACTCTGGACATTTCTTTCATCTCTAGCATGAAAAGTGCCTAGCTTGACCCACTTATTTGTTGGATACCTAGAACAAAACACAAACAAGAACAAGCATGCATCGTGATACCTTGTAGTTAATTTAATTTGTGCTCCTCTTAAAATGCTCCCCCCACATGGTAATATTTTTGTTACCTTTATTTCTCACCTTTTCTCGAATTATCTAAAGGCTCTCTCTTGCATTCCATACTATTCTCACAATAGTGTAGTGTAATGATGTAGTTTTCAGAGAGGTTAACTTCCACAAGGGCACAACTCTACCTAATTGATACTGCTGAGGGCTGGCTGAGCTGGTTAAGTCAGCTAAGGTTGTGCTAAATCCAAACTTCTCCCAGCCTAGGGCTGATGGAAATTATTTTGGATTACCTTAATGCTCACTTATATTTATGTCACCGTAGTCCATAGTTTTTGATCTGGCATATTTTAGCTCATCCCCCTTTCAGATATACTCTTGGGTGATCTCAGCTAGTACAGCAGTTATACTAGAAGATCTGAGAGTAGACAACAAAAGGGTAGCACACCAGCGCAAAAGGCTTCTACTCTCTCCAATCCCACATCAACTGGCACAGATTTAAGTTTGGATTGAACTGTTTGTTTCAGTACGTGTAAAAAACAAGAGTGGAAGGATTGTGACCCCTTTTGGACTAACAGATTTATTTCAGTGAAACTTTCAGATATGTCAATCCACTTCCTCAGATAAAATTATCTAGTTATTTCAATGATAACGTGTCTTGTAATATTATCAGTATTATCAAACATACCTGTCACTAATAGAGACCAGAAAGTCCTTGGGAGTAGATGAGAATAACTCGTGATTGGCAATGTCCAGCTGCTTCACTTGAATTGGTTCACAAAGTTCAACAACAAACCTTTAGGAAAAATGAAAAATATAATATGAAGTGAATGCAAAGCAATTTTAAAGGAAGAGTGGAAATTTTTGGTTAATCCAACATTCACTACATTGTGGAATTCATCCTGAAAATGTGCTGCATAATGTTACATAAGAAAATTTTCAAGTACATTCCTCAGGTGAATTTCAAGGACACAAAATATTTGCAGGCTGCAAGAGCACATAGTAAGGATGCCATGATGGCAGCTCCTTGCTGTTCTGGTGAATACTGAATAAGCCAGAAACAAAACAGGGTTTATAGGACGAAAGGACAACATATTACACTGGACTGTAATTCCCACACTTCCTCAAAACTGGAGATTCTAGCTATGGATGATGAGAGCTATAATTCTACAAGGCTAGAGGGCTTTATATTCTTCCGCCCTGTTTTTCAGTTTTAAAAAACCAAATCCTAAAGGCATCAATGTCAACAGACTGCTTGCCTGCAACTATGATTCTTTTAGTGACTATCAGTGAATTGATATATGGGGTCCCATTGCCTTGCTAAGTCCCTGCTGGATCATTCTGCAGCAAGAGTATTGATGGGAATACTCATCCCCCACCTTCAAAATCCACATACCCAGCCATACTTCAGCATCTTCTCTCAGTTATGAATCCACTGTAAGGGTAACCCAAAAATCTTGAGGAGATGAGTTCTGTGAGTTCACAGAAAATACGCAAAGAACCACAACCACAGGTGAGCAATGTGTTGTTCTTCATGGTCTCTGTGACTCTCACATGTGGCTGACTAGTGTGCTCACCAGTGACAAAGGCAAAACTTAAAATCTGCTCTCTTGAAAGCACTATCAGCTTGTGAGTGTATACCCCTGAGATTATCATCATGGTCTATACCAATGCAGCATGGATCAAAACTGTAACTGGGACCAACAAGTTTCATAGTGGAAAAATACAGGAAGAGCAAGGTTTTTCCTTTTTCTTCTTTTTATAGATCTCTGTCTCCTGCTCCACAGATTGGTGCTTGAACTGACACTTTTAAAGTCCTGACACATATACATACACTTATGTCAGGCAGCCCCTCAAGATCTCAGCAATAAAGTATGTCACAATAAAATGTAGCAAACTGGAAGATGTCCATGGCAATGGCCTTGAGACTGATGTCAAGTACCAAAGCACACGATGAAAGTTCAAACAGATACTGACATGAGGACTGTATATCAAGTTTTATAAAGCAACAGTATTTTACAGATGGCAATGGGAACAGTATGGATGGCAGGTAAGGATGGCATGCCCTGCTACCTAGAAAGCCTTCCCCCAAGCAAAACACAAACACACCTGAATTCTGAATAGTTGAGTCCAGATATCATGTCTTGTGAACTCAAGACAAATTGGACAAGAGTGGAATACATGGCTTTCTCCAAGACAAAACAGGTACCTGAGTAAATGTTGGTTGGTGCAATTTCCCCCTCCAAGACTTGCATTTCTTGAAAAATGCTTTCAGAATGACAGAATTGGATAACTCAATGCTGCCCAAACTATTATAAAGCTAGTATCCAAAACAATTTACAGCTAACAGCTAAAAGGAACTTTTATAAACAAACAAAAATTGTAAAAGATAAAGAACTATATAAATCATAAAACAGCTTAGCAGAGTAATAAAGACGTTTATTAACAGAAAAATGTTCCTTCAGATGCTGCTCATATAGCAGACAGAAAGGAATGTGGGAAAGGCACAGAGATGTGGCTGGCCATGTGCACTATGAGCATGGAAACTGCACCCAAACCTAGCTGTAGAATATTCCAATACAGTAGTGATCCTGCACAGACACAAGACTCGCACATGTAAACCATGGAGACTTAAAGAAAAAGCTGTCAAGTTAAATAGTAGGCTTTACAAACTATCAAAATGACACACACACACACACACCAGCCAAGCTGACATGGGCTGATGGTTGGATTCCAAAAGATCTCCTGTATGGAGAATTAGTGCAGGGAAACCGCCCCAGAGGGAGACCACAGCTGCGATACAAGGATATCTGAAAGTGGGATCTGAAGGCTTTAGGAATGGACCTCAACAGATGGGAAACCTCAACATCTGAGTGTTCAGCCAGGAGGCAGGTGGTACAAAATGGCCTCTCCCAATTTGAAGAGACACTTGTCCAGCAGGCCGAGGCAAAGAGACAGTCCCGAAACCAGCAAGATCAGGGAGCTGGACAGGGGATAGATTGTATTTGTTCTCAGTGTGGAAGGGATTGTCACTCTTGAATTGGCCTTCTCAGCCACACTAGACACTATTCAGAGCACGTTACCACAGTCTCTTGAGATCAAAGGATGCCTACTCAGGCTGAAATGGAAAATCATCCTCCCATTACTTTCAAGGGAGGGACATTTCCCAAAAAACCTCTATCGGGAAATAAGAATCTTTGTCCCAAGCCTTGCTACCAAGAGCTAGCAAGGCTTTAGCTGTCCACCAAAAAAACATAAAAAACAAAAACCTAATTCCACCGACACTTAAATGGAAGAATTTTAAGAAGGTACTTTATTTAGAAAATGCCTATGATAATGCATGACTTATGTCTGTCCAATGAAGCCTCTCTTTTTTGGGGAACTGTTTTCTGTATTGCAGATTTATGCTGGAACTAGTATTTGTGGCTAGCTGTGAACTGGCATACAACTCTTAACTACCATGACATATCAGAGTCTGAAGTGCTCTGAACAGCACACAGCAGATATTTCCACTTCTAAAGATACACAAAAAGTACTTACCAGATTTTAGTACTGCATGGATTAAGCATGTAGAGGTCCATATTCTCCATCAGTATTGCTGAGGTACTCTATAAAGAAAAACAAAACCACAAAAAATCACGAGATTTTTTTTTCCCTTTTCATCACAAGATCCACCAAGTAGGGGCAGTTATAACAGATACGGCAACAATTAAAAAATGTTGAGTCTGGACTTTATACAGCAATGGAAATGAATGGCACTTAGGTTCCTTCTAACAAAATCCACTGTTTCCATTATGCCCAAACTTTCTTCAATTCAGCAGTATTAAGGAGAGGACCTTACAGCTGTTGCTATTGCTAAAAAGAGACTCAGATGTTCACCAATTACTGCAAGATCACCCAAAGATCCATTAGTAGATAAAAGATCTGCCTGCTGACCTCCATGCTGTCAAAAGACCTAATATTCAATTGGCAAGAGCCACAGCTGACTGAAACAGCATATGCTTTGCAAGTGGAAGGTCCTAGGCCCTGGCATCTCCAGACTGGGCTGAGAAAGATCCCTGTCTGAAACCATATCAAGTCCTGCCTTGTCACTGTAGACAGAGAATGCAAAATTAAGCAAAGGTTTGACACTCTATAAAAACACCCAATAAAAATCATATATTTACTGTAATAATCAGGACAAATGATATTAATACTCGTATTAATATTTGTACTCATTAATATATACCAATAAAAACAAAAAACTTTGAATATAGGTAAATCTTAGACTGTAACATCTACAGCCAACTGCAAATTACATCACAAGGAGAAACTGTCACTTCAATATAAAGTCTTTTCTAATTTGATGTAAATTATGATGGCTTTTAATTCTATAGGAAAGGGACCTTATCAAATTGCAGCTTCATTAATGAACATTAGTCCTACCAAATTAGCTTTGTAGTGAATATAATTATTCCAACTTGCAGTGTTAACATTTGTAAAAATTCTTTCCAAAGGCATGTGTAATGTACTACTTGACATCAAACCAAAATCCTATTATATTTTCATAGTGGCATAATGCAATTTGCACAAATTTTAGCAGCTCTTATGCAATTCGGTACACAACAGCAAATGCTCAAACTGACTTCTTTAACTGCTGCAATTTGCCACTAAGATCTGATATGTATTACATCAGCAGTTCTAATGAACAGGATTTTAGCCTATGTAACATTAAAATGTTACACAGGCCAAAATGTTCATGAGAACAGATGGATAGCTCTGTAATTTAGGTATCTCGCTATGGAGCCAAAGGTTGGGAATTCAATACCCCGCTGTGCCCCTTTGACAGGGACTGGACTTGATGATCCATGGGTTCTCTTCCAACTCTGCAGTTCCAAGGTTATTATTATGTGCTGGCTGCAGGGCCAGAAGCTGGGAGTAAGATTTCCCACTGTGCCTCCTGGGAAGAAAGCCAGCCTGTGTAGCCTTGGAGAAGCAGACACAGACTGAGGGCGCCCAAGAAGAAGGGAATGGTAAACTACTTCTCAGTACGGCCTGAAAACAGGTTGCCATCAGTCAGAACTGAGTTGATATTATTATTAATTATTATTAATTATTGTTATCAAGTACCTAATCTTTCCACATATCTTCCAAAAATGCAGATTAGGGCACATACAGTGTGGATGGTGGAAGCTTGAGGTCTGGTTAGTATTTAAAAGGTTCTTA